TTAGAACACAATCACATTCAAATACGGTGAGTCATCTTTTATATTTACAAGAAGCACCTAGTATTACCAAAAACCACCTTGAAAATGCTCAAGTGCTTCAGTCAAGCTATGTTCCTCCATCAGGAATTGCAGTGTAAAGACAAAGGACAGACTATCCTTAAATGTTGAGTTGATACCTTCTTCTCTGGAAACTCTTCAGAAATATTAGCTTATATCTAAAATGTCTAATGTGTCTCTATGGTAATGATATTAAAAAAATTAACAGTTGCTCTAAAACTTCTTTAGGACAAATTATCAGACATTTAACATTATAACATTCCATTATTATTTAGTCTTGAATTCCAGAAACATTAAGACAAAGGCCATCAAAGCTCATTCAATTATTCACAGAAGGACTTTACTGTTTGGGGAAATAGTCTGAATTTCCAGTTCTGCTGAGACACCAAGTTACAGCTTCTCCTGTAAACAGTCTTTCTGAAGTCGGTTCTGTCCAGAAAGCACCCCAAGCCTGAAGCAGCGCACATTTCCCACACATCTAAAATACACACCTCCCCTTGCTCCACCCCAGTGCGCACAGGCAATCACACTCCTCGAGCAAACACAGCTTCCAGGAAGTTGCACAATGAAAGCCTGACCCAGCTCCCAACTGAAATCAGTAGCAGAACTCCCCCACTTGCTTTGGTCCCACTGAATCCAGCCTCCTGCACACAAGAGCAGAGGATCTGTCTGCAATGTTGATATACAACACTGACGGCCTCAACTCCACACTGCTATCAGTGAGCTTCACACTTCTATCAGATGATTTAAAACAAAGATACATTGGCAGTAAAACCAGAAATATGCACTGCAAGCAGAGATGAAGCTGTGAACAATAGCAGAGGTATTGGCACATGGTGTAGTATTATCAATATTTATACAGAAAACAGTAAACACCAAGTAAGGAGCACCATCATCATCAAGGGCAAAGGCAACACAAAGAGTTGAGGGAAAGGGCAACCAACCATGTGGCATGCTAAGAGGAACAATCTCTCCTGAGAAAAAGCTATTGGATACAAGAGAATTAGAAAGTAACAACAGAAAATCAGGAAGAAATTAAGGCAGCGGGGGGCTTCCAAATGCATTCTCATAACAAAAGGCATCAGGTTTATGCTTCGCTTTATACAAAGACAGCTGAGGGAGAGGGGGGAGGTCAAGTAAGGAAAAGAGTGCCACAGAATGAGAGAGACAAAACAGTTTTGGAAGAAGTGATGGTCCCACTTCCAGTTATATGTTAAAAAAATGAACAAGAAATGTAGCACAAAAGTATTGAAGAGGCGAGGCAGGGCGCTGCTCAGGGCCAGAGGGAAGGGGAAAGGCAGGGGAGGACCTGTTTTCATAGACCCTGGGTGTGCACAGACCCTACTGCCCCCTCCCACTCTCTGTGGTCACGGGCACAGCCCCACAGCCCAACTCAGCACGTGTGATGAGGTTCCCACTCCTGCACAACTGTGCACACACCCCGAACCAAACAGCTCCTCAACGGCCTTCAAAAGATGCACTGAGCTCCCAACCACTACAAACACTGATCTCAACAGCTGCCCAAACAGAAAAAAAATATTTCCTTTTTTTAGGTGCTAACAAAGGTAAGAAGAAGAATTAGCACAGGTACACAGCTGATCAGCACGACAGTTGCAAGCAGAATTCCAAATTTCCTGGTTTCCACTTCTATACTTCAATCACCACTGATCTACATTACCTTTGTATTTATTACCTACTTCTAGTTCCCTCGCTATTTTAATCTGTAATCTGCCTATTTTACTTCCTGTTCACTTCCCTGTACAATTAGAGTTTAAACAAACAAAAAAAATTAGCTACTACTTTGTGACTAAAAACCCCACACTCTTCTTTACGCTGGTTAATGCCAGATGAAAGACACAATGCCTCATTTTTACATTCATTAATATAAACTTTACAACAGGCCAGGTAACTTCAGCTATGCCCTAGGAAGTTCTAGTCTTCAATTTTATCTGCAGCATCTCTGCCAAACAGCAGGTACAGGTTGTACTAATACCTGTGATATCAGCAGATTCACTTGTACTCATGTACAAGTTTTCAAGATACAGCCTCATCATATATTTACTTATTAACACCCAAACTTTCCTCCAGTGAAGGACTTTGGTGGTACCAAGGCAGAGTAGACACTCTTCCCTAGAGAACAGCTGAGTATCACCTACAACAAGTTAACAACACCTTCAGTCAGAAGAGTTTGCCCTGGCACTAAAAAATATGAAGAGGTCAAGCAACCCATCTCCTGAAGTTACACACTGCCTACTCACAAATACAAATATTCGCACTAGAGAGGCTCGAGGAGCTTTACTGAGTGAGTGACACCAGCTTTAGCAGCAGTTAAGATTTCCATGAGCCCTCACACCTGGAAAGGCAACGTTCCAAACCTGAACTGCACCGAGCAGGGCAGGCTGTGTGTGCCTGAGAACAGACAGCCTGGGTTCCTTTGCTGCTGCCCACAACTCCTCACACCATGGCCTGACACGCTCACTCACCCTGTTGGACAGCGGTGCCACTACAAGACTCTGCACACAAGGAGCTACCAAGAACCAGACCATTTCTGTATCCCTTTCTCTCTCACACAACACTACAAAGGTGCTACAGGATCCCCCCCATCCCTACCACACCACCTTAGGGAAAACAGATCAGCAGTCAGGGAACACAAAAGAAAAGAAAAAAAGGAAGATTATGGGGGTTTTTTATCATAAAAGGAAGAAGTCTGAAAGTTATCTTACACACTGGAAACACTGAAGTTGGATCCCTTCACAAAACAATTACCACAGACTTTCCCTTCCTCAAGTCATAGGAATTTAAATACCTTTCCCCTTCTTCTCCCAGGCCAGAAGAATGAAGGGGTTCACACTGAACCCCTCAGAAAAAAACACAAGATCTCCTGCCTTCGCTGAGCTCCTGACTACCCAGTAAGTTTTCAAACTCTGTGCCAAACAGGAATGCACAGGAGTAGGCAAAATAAAGAATTCAGTAACAGGAGGGGACATGCAAATAAGCAAAGGGAAAAATACCTAGTGTAGTTTAGAGGAGCAGTGGTGGTGAAACAGGGGTACAAAAAGTTGCTGTGCTCTATAAGAGAGAAGTGGAACAGAAAAAAAAAAAAAAGAGAAAAATAAAACAACACAAAATTCCCTACCATTTTAAATGTGGGATGCTGGAGCACCATGCAAGGGAAAACATATACATATTGTACTCTGTTTAAGCCACTACAGACCAAACACCTTCTAGCCACACGTGTCACATGTGCCCAAAGGTGTTCCACTGGGATTCCGTACCGTCCCATTAACATCTCAAGCATCAGAAACTGAAATACATCACTCAGCATTTTTACACATCACTTACAACATAATAAAAAGCACACCTGTTCCATCTGCTAACTTTAAAAACAAATCTCAGTATAACAAAAAAAAAAAAGGCATATATAGTTTGTCTCAGAGTTTGTGCGAGAAGAGAACTCAACCAGCTTCGACGACAGGACTTGAAGCCGCCCAGACGGACCGGCCGCCAGACACAGCTCACTGCGAACGCCTCCGGCCGGACTGTGCCTCTCCCGCGCTCGCTGAAAGCCCTGATCGCTGCGAACACGGCAGGCACTGGGGACGCCGTAACGCTCGGAGCGGCTGCACAGCCCGAACAACCGCGCTCCGGCGGCAGGACGGGCACAGGTCCCGGCTGCTCCCGGGACGGCCACAGGCCCCAGCAGGGACCGGCCGGGGCTGCGCTCCCCGCGGGCACGGCGGCACAGCCCTCCCCGGGGAACGGCCCGGCCCGGACACGGAGCGCTCCCAGCGCCCGGGCAGGCAGCACCGCGGCGCGGGGCAGAGTCCGAGGAGGCCGAGCCGCCGGGCGGAGGCAGCGGCGCCGGCAGCGGGAGGGCACCGGGCGGCCCCGCGAGCAGAGCGACCGCGGCCCGGCCGCGGAGCTCGGAGCAGGCAGAGGTAGCAAAGCTCGCGGGGCCCCGAGCACCGAGCGGAGCGGAGCGGAGCGGAGCGGAGCGGAGCGGAGCCCCGGGCCGGGCGGCGGCGCCCAGGCCGGTCCCACTCACCGGGCCGGTCCCTGCAGCGGCAGCGGCGGACGGAGCCGGGCATTCAAAATGGCGGCGGCGGGGCCGCAGCACCGATACCGCAGGCGGAGGGATCCGCGCGCCGGCTCGCTCACCGCAGCCCCTCGGGCCGTCCCGGCCGCAGGCGGAGGCACGGCCGAACCGGGCCGGGACGAGCTGGGCGGGAACGGAGCGGGGGCCACGCGACACCGCCGGCGGCGTGGCGAGAAAGGACCTCGGAACTAATTTTTTTGGCGGAAGCACCCACGGGGCTGCTTTGACGAGGTGCGGTGCGTCTGCACCGTGGCAGTCCCTGATGATGTCACGAGAGGGGCGGTCCCGGCGGCGCGCGCTCCCGGCGGCGGGGCCGGGCGGGTCCCGCCGCCCGCGCCCGGGGTTCCGGGGGGCTACGGGACCGCTCCCCGCCCCCCGCGATCTCGCCCTTCTGAAGCGTCCGCCGGCGGCGGGGGGAGCGAGGGTGTATAGCTGCCCCCGCCCCGGGCAGCTATTCTGTCCGCCCTTCCAGGACCTTTTGTCACCGCAACGATCACCGAATGCCGAGAAACTGCCTTCTGCGGGGCTCCGGCCAGCAGCGCGAGCCCAGCGAGACACTGCGGGGGTGCGAGAAAGGGAGCGGGCCCCTTCAGAGCGCAGGTTCCCGCAGGTAAGCCGGGGGGTACCCGCGTGGGGCGCGGGCCCGACAGGCTCCGCACGGCGCTGCCGCCGGGCCCGCCTCGGGCCGACGCGGCCGGTTGCCACGGCAACGGCGCTGCGGCTGTCCCGTGACGTCATCCGGGCGCGGCGGCGGCAGGGCCCCCGCCGGCGGGTGAGGCGCTTCTGGAGCGTCGCGCGCGTCATCGCGGCGTGCCGCGTCATCGCCGCGCGCCGCGGGCTGGGAGGAGCCGGTGTGGGCACCGGGCGGGCCCCGGGCTGGACCGGGACATGGCGGGTGAGCCGCGGGCACCGGGCGGGTCCGCGGGGCCGGGCCGGGACGTGGCGGGTGAGCCGCCGGCACCGGGCGGGGCGGCAGCGCGGCCGGGGCTCCGGAGCCGGGGGTGGGGCGGTGACCGGGCTCGGGCGTCTCCCGTGCCCGGGATGCCGGCCGGGGCCGCCGCCGCTCCCGTGCGCGGGACTCACGGCTCCCTCTGTTCCTGGCGCAGGTGAGGCGGCGGCGGGCGGCGCGGATCCGGGAGCCCGCGCGGGGCAGCCCCGGCGGGTGCCCCCATGAAGGAGCGCGGCGGCCGGGGCAGCCGGGACACCGCGGGGCGCCATGAGAGCGGGCCACGAGCGGAGCCAGGAGTGCCTCCCGCCAAAAAGCGGGACCTTCCCGCCGCCAGCGCCGGCACCGAGGCGGGACGGGCGGGGGGCCCCCAGGGCTCGGGCTCGGGCCCGGAGTGGGCCCGGACGGCCGGGCCGGGTCCCGCCGCCCCCCGCTACACCCCTGGCGAGGCCCCCGAGGCGGCGGCGGGGCTGACGGTGGACCAGTACGGGATGCTCTACAAAGTGGCACCACCGCCTGCCACCTTCTCCCCCACGGGCCTGCACCCCGTGGTGAACGTGAGCCCGCTGTCCCCCGCCTTCAACGTGAGCTCACCCATCATCCAGCACCCGGGGGTGCCCTTCCCCCCCATCCACTACGCGCAGATCCCTCCGGCCTCCTTGCAGCTCATCGGGTCCCACTACACAGTGCCCTACGCCGTCCCCCCTGCCTTCCTGCCTAGTCCTCTCCTATCTCCTTCCACCAACCTCGCCGCCCCCCACGTCCCCCACTTTGTGCCATATGCCTCCCTGTTTGCGGAAGAAGCTGCTCCTTCCCCCCAGACTACCTCTCCCACCCACAGCTTCAACAAATCCGCCTCTGCAGCCTCTCCTGGGCAGGTGCAGCACCACTCTGTGCCCCAGCTGGACATGGCCCCGGGCAGGATTCCTGTTTATTATCAGATGTCCCGCCTCCCACCAGGGTATTCGGCCTACGAGGCACCTGCAGCAGGTGGGAGCCCAGTGTCTCCTCAGCAGGACAGTCAGCTGAGCTCAGAGGTGGCTGCAGCCAACGGTGGGCAGAGGCCCCTGGAGCAAAGTGTGGCCAGGAGGCCCAGCGAGGCCGTGGACTCTGCCAGCAGTGCAGCTGAGGACTGCCAGCCCCCGGGGGCTGCAGCAGGAGGTGTGGGTGACGGACAGTTCCTGCCAGGTTACCAGATGCTGGGAAGAGAGATCTCTGTGCCAGCTCACAGGAGCACCCCAGACGCTGATCTGGAGGTTCAGAGGGTGGTGGGAGTGTTGGCATCTCAGGATTATCATGTTCTGGCAGCCCCGAGGAAAGATGATCCGAGCCCTTTGAGCCTTTGCCATAATGTCTCTGATGGGCAGGAAGACATGCTGAGAAACACCATGGATAGGGCTGGGAACAGCCAGTCCCGGAGCCCATGTGGAATGTCCACCGAGGAGGCTGTTAGACAGAGACAGTTAACCAAAGGAATGGTGGTAGCCAATGGCAAGCCAGTCCTTGTTCCTGTTGGGTCTGAGCCCGTCAGGTCTTCCACTTCAGAAGCCCTGGTGAAGCAGAGCCCAGATGCACAGGCTCGAGGAAGTGTGCTGGAAAAGGAGCTGGCCCAGCTGCAGCCACCCAGCTCCTCCCAGCTGCCCTCTCACTTCATGAAAGGAGCCATCATCCAGCTGGCGACGGGAGAGCTGAAGCGGGTGGAGGATCTGCAGACTCAAGACTTTGTTCGCAGTGCAGAGGTGAGCGGGGGCCTGAAGATCGACTCCAGCACTGTGGTGGATATTCAGGAAAGCCAATGGCCTGGGCTTGTTACACTGCATTTTGTGGTTGGGGAGCAACAAAGTAAAGTGAGCATTGATGTGCCCCCGGAGCATCCCTTCTTTGTGTATGGCCAGGGCTGGTCCTCCTGCAGCCCGGGGCGGACTGCTCAGCTCTTCGCTTTGCCCTGTCACAGGCTGCAAGTGGGGGATGTCTGCATATCAATCAGTTTACAGAGCATGAATGGCAACTCTTCTTCTCAGGCCAACTCCCCTCTCACAGATCAGCTGGGATCTGCCAGGGAGAGATTGGAACGAACAGCTCAGGGGCTCCGAGAGCCACCTGACAGAGCTGCTGAAAGGAAGAGCCACACGGACAGGGACAGCGCGGCCCAGAGCGCTCGCGCAGAGCCCCCTCAGCCTGAGGCTGGCACTCAGCACAGCTGGACAGCCCCAGGCTTCCAAAGATACAGCATGCAGGCAGAGGAGCCTCGGCCCTCCCTGCTCCGTCCCTCTTTCATTCCCCAGGAGGTGAAGCTGTCTATCGAAGGGCGTTCGAATGCAGGGAAGTGATCCCCTGGAGGTGTGAGCTGGGGCAGCCCCGGCAGGTGAGCCTCCCCCTCAGGGGGAGGAATTGCACAGACTCTGTGACAGGTTCACCAGCAAGGCTGCTTTCTGCCCTGCAGGACTGGCTCTGTTCCAGTTCCGTGGCTGACCAGTCCCTCTTGGGGAGTCAGGAGGGCTCCAGTGCCTCAGGGAGCAGCGACAGGCTTAGCTGGGATGGGGAGCAGGGACGTGCTCGTGAGCATGCAATGAGAGCATTCCAGAGGCTGGAGGCTGGGGCTTTCTCCCACCTCCAGGGATAACTGACTCCCTGCAGGGCAGGGGCTGAGCATTCAGGACAGGTGGGGAGATGAGGAGGGCAGACACGGCTTAAGGTAGCAGATAAAATTGCTGAAGATTTTATTCCTCCTTTCTCGTGATGGGGAGAGACGGCTCCCCACTGGAGTCTGGGGGCTCTACTCCCAGTATCCCCTTTCTTCACACATGCACTTTAAAAGGACCGTTCACTGAGGGAGCTCTCGAGGGCAGGACGGAGGTGCTTCTCTGGTGGTTCTGATTAATGTCTCTTCCACTGAATCCAACTGCTCTTTCTTCTTGCAAAGAATGTACAGATTTGAATGATTCACGGAAATTCAAGAGGAAGGACCAAAAGGATGGGTTTGGGTGTAGGTGAATAGGGAACTTGACCACTTGGGATGGGACACGAGCTGGGAGACATTTAGTTTCCTGCTATAAAATACATTAAATTGTTTGCCACCAAATCAAATCTTTCTTCCCGTGCTAGTAACTTTAAAAAAAGATCCTGGGCTTATAAATTTGCGGAGTCTCTGCCTAGGGATGAATGAGGTTGAGGTTTTTTATCTGGTTGGATTTGGGAGCTTGATATTTTGTTGATTTGTATTTTTTTAAAGCTGGATTAAAATATGTCCAGCATTCTCCAGGAAAGGATGAAAACATCCTTTTTCTGTGAGAAGACTGAGGCTATTTTGTAATTAAGTCAGAAAAAAAAACATTCTGGATGGGTAATTCTTCCCTGCAGGCAGTTTCCTGAATAAGTTCTGGACAAGAGACAAGTGTTTGTGCATGTGCAGGCAAGGTACAAAGTTTCTGCTAAGTACACTATGATTTATGTAGGAGCTCTAAAAATATCACAGCATCACAGGGCATTTTGGGGTGGTTTTTTTTAGTTTTTCTGATTCACTTTGGAGTTCCTCTGTCGAACAACATGGTAAAATCAAGAGTAGTCTCTTTCATGGTGAGATTTAACACAATTGTGTATGAATACCTCATTGTGGTGATAACACTCTATTGAGTGAAGGCTCCTGTAGTTACACTAATCTGCCCTCTCTGATGGTGTATTATGACACCAGCTCCAACTGCTCAGCCAGGATAAAGAATGGTCACTGTTCTAGGGAGGAAAGAGTTTTCACTGACTTAACCTGGGTTAAGTATTCCTTGTGTTAAGGTGCCCATCTCTGTGCTAGGACCAGGCTTTGGAGGGGGCTTTCCTCAGTGTGCAGAGCCCTCATGTCCAGCATGCTGTTTCTGTCTCCCTGCTCTCATCTTCCTGAAGTTTCTGTCAGGTGTGCCTGACTGCTGGGGCACCGCTCCTCCCTGTCACAGAATGGTGTGTGTCAGCACCTCTTGCAGCGGTGCTGCCTGAGGGCTGTTCTGCACTCACTAGCAGTGTGTCCTGTAACGGGTTGGCTTCTACTGTGTGATGGGCAGGTGCTCTGCCTGGGTATCAGGCAAGTTAGAGAGCCTCCAGAATGTCCCTTCCATCCCGCTCCTGTTTTCCTAGCACATTGCTAGCTGTTTCTGTTGCCTTTGAAATGCCTGCACCTGGACAGACTCTCTTCAGGCCTTGGGTGGGATGTGCTAATCATGCCTTCAGTGTTTGTGCCTCATGGGGCTCTCCAGAGCGAGGGTGCTGCCTGTATCATGTGTAGCTGCTCCCAAATGACACACTACTTCGGATCTCATCAGCTGTATTTGAGATGTGTGAAGTCACGGTGATGCTGTCGGGTGAAGATTCTGCCTCCTCAGGTGCAGCATCTGCAGGAAAAGACGCTGTTTTCATAGCCCTGTTTGTCAGTGAAGTGTCCCCCTGGGCCCCCCCGTCACCTGGGGGTGTCACAGCTCCTGTTCACTGGACTCTCCTACACAAAGACCTCAACTAATGTTGGTAATCAGTACTTAATGCTCAGGATACCCGAGTTGTCTGTGGCCAGAGGCTGGAGACAGAGGAGCCCATGTTCTTGTGCATGTTCTTTGGTCGATGCACGCAGAGGAATTGAGAGCTGTGAAAGCTGAGGAAGGGATCTCACATACGTATGGCGTGTGAATGTAGAGGGGCTGGCCACACCATAGAGGGAATGTCTGAGCAGCTGAGGGTGCAGAGCCCCTCACGTGTGTGAACACAGGAGTCTGTCTGAGTGAGGATTTGGAGAGCCTGCCTTATCCCCTGTGTGTTACTGTGACTCCTCCCTGGTCTCAGCCACACTGTGCTGTGCTCTGAACGGGCAGCACAGATGACTGAGGCAAGATGCTGTGTGGCTAAAACAGCTTTGTACTGTAGAGAGCTGAAGGGCTGTGAAGGTGCTCACCCTCATTGTTTACCTGGCTGCTGACCTGGACTTTGGCTTGCTGCACCTCTGTTGAGTGCAGTCCTGAGCTCTGTGGAACAGGCCAGAGTGAACTGGACCTCAGTCCTTCCCAGACTCCCCGTCAGTCCCACTGTTGTGCATGTTTCAGCTGCCAGCTCCTCCCTGGTGGCAATGCTTTGGGGCACAGCCCAAAGCAGGCCACTGAGCCCTGGAGAATCTGTGCATCTGGCTGCTTGCCCCAAACGGTGGGCAAGAGGGGGTCCTCCTGCCCAGCTCAGCAGTACTGGTATCACTGGAACCTGTCCTTACAGGGCTGGTTGTGTGTCTCAGCGCTGCAGTGGTGGTTATGCTGATCACTGAGACTCTCCTGAGACAGGGAGGGTGTGAGATAGGCTCTGCTGCAGGCAGAAAGGCTGTGAATGAGCCCATGGAGGAGACTTTTATTTCTTGGGTTTACAGGGAAAGGAGGAGATAAAGCCAGGAAAATATTGTGGAGTGGAATGGTTACCTGGGCTTTTCTGCTGGCAGAGATGTGACAGACTTCTCAGAGAAATATGTTCCTGCTGCTATTGTGAAGGAGAGGAGAGCTGTGGTGTGTCCTGCCTGGAGGAGGAGGAGGCCTCCTGGTCCTGGTCTTACCCAGCTCACACTCTGTAGCAGGAGTCTGTGGGATGCAATACTGAGTGTCTGTTGCCATCTGTCCCATCCCATGGAACATTCCTTGGGTCAGCTGCCCAGCAGAGCCAGGCCTGTCATTCACAGCAGAGAGTGCTCATGCCTACGACTATGCAGAGGAAGCTCTGTCTGGAAGAGAGGAAGCTGCAGAGGGCCCCCTCTGCCTTCCCCTTCCAGCCGCTGAGCAGGTATAATGCACTTTTCACATTAAGTGTCCCTGTCCCCACCCCCACACTTGAAGTCACTTTGCCCCTTAGAGAACTAACAATCTTTGTTACTCAGAAAATATTGTTAAAGAAACTACAGCAGCTGGAGTAGCCCAAATGGTAGTTCCTGCCCGCAGCAGCACACGTGCCTTTCCCCAGCATCACTCACAACTGCTCCTTGTCTTTCAGGCTGTCCTAGGGCCTGACACTTTGCAGAAGCTGCTACGATGGCCACGAGTGCACATTCTGTACAGTTTGGCCCCGGATGTTCCATGTATGGCTTAAAAGGTTGATGGTCCAGGCCCTTGCACAGCTTTCACACCTGTCTGCGGAGGACAGGATTGCCCCTAAGGTCCTTCCAGGCTGCTGCTGCCAACGTGCCCCTGCACACTCGGGTTGTTTTCGGCTGTCATGGCACCTTAGCGCCAGGGAGGGCCTGCCCAGAGACAGACAGACAGACAGACAGAAGCAGGGGGGCCGGCTGGGCTGCCCTGAGGCAGGGAGGTGTTTGTAGATAAGTGCTGACCCCTCACTATAACCCCAGTATATGGCTGTATTAACATGTAACCGACGCAGTGTATCTAAAGCCTTAGAACTAGTCAGGTGCTCCCCTCCAACCCTGTCCCTGCCCCTTTCCTCCTACCTGATCTTTAACAAAGCATTAATAATTCTAAGGATAATCTCTATTTTGTTGTGCTTTTTTTGTAACTGTTTTAAATAAATCAATTTGTACTGTATATTTGTACTTTTGGTGAGATCCTTTCTCCTGTTTTACCATTTTAAGTCTGTACTTGGCTACACACAGATTGTATTTTTATTGTTAATGCTCTTATGAATATTGCATTTAACTTGTTGACTCTGTAAACACAGTATATATCTATATATATATATATATCTATATATAAACCAATAGCTTTTCCTTTGGTGTTTGAGACTTTTTGCTCATCTGTAGCATCAGTGATCATCAAGATGTGGCTTCTCTGGTCTTACACAGTGATCTGGAGACTAATGACAAGGGCAAGGTACGGGTTGTCTGACAGATGGATTATAAGCCATAATTTTGTCAGATACTTTTGTTTTATGTGGTCTCTCTTGAACCCCTTGGCATAAAGATGCCAGTGGTGTTGCAGGGAAAGTTCCAGCTGCAGGTTGCAGAGTGAAGGTACATCTCTACTGGGCAGGCAAAATTTATGAGGTAGAGCAAAAGCAAATATTGCCAAAAGCAAACTGGGTTTGAGTATGAAAATGGACAGAGGTAAGGAAAGAAGAGAGATCAGAGAACAAAGGAGGAGATGAACAAAGGAACATGGAATTGAACAGCTCCTTTCCAGATCTGGTGCCTTTTTCCAAAATAAGAGAGATGGGGATGGCTCCTGGATGTCAGTTCTACGTGATGAATTTCATGTTAAAACAGCTTCTGTGGGAGGAAACAAGATGTTGCAGTGGCATGTGGAGGAAACTAGCACTGAAAAGGTTCAGTGCTCTTTCCTAGCAGTGTCCCCAGGGCTGGCACTAGGGGTAGTTCATTATCACCAGAAAAATGCAACATAAATGCACTTTGAAGGCAACTTCTGTAAGTTTAACGAGGGCTTTAAGGGACTGCAATCAAAAGGTTTTTCAAAATGAAAAATGAGGGGGAAGTAGGGTTCTAAGTAGTCTGGTCAAAAGGTTTTGCTTCTTGTTTTAACTTTACTCTTCTGATCTCAAATAGGAGTCTTGTGGTCTCCATTTCTCTGCAAAGCAGAGAGACAGCCATCAGAGAGAAGACAGTAGCTCCCAGGGTGTTTGAACCAGTGTGTGACTCCAGATCTTCACTGGGAATGCTATGGAGCTAGTAGGAGTCTTCAAGCTACAAAACACAGAGGTGTGGCACACTGGTTGATGTTTGCAAACCACAAAGCTACACCACGCATTTTCAGATGCACATTCGTAAAGAAACCCAATAACAGAGAGTGTACTGCTTCTTTGCCCCTCATGAGTCCTTCTGTGCCACTGCGTTTTGCCTTTTCCGCATTCAAGATGCCTAGATTTAATTTCCATAGTTTAATAGTGGGAACATTTTCCTACAGGCATAGGCTATGGTCACATTTTGCCTCCAGTACACCGGTGCTGCTCTTGTGCTGGGGACCCCAGCACTGGACACAGGACTCCAGGTGTGGCCTCTGCAGTGCTGAATAAAGAAGAAAGCAAACCCATACAGTCCTAGAAACTGACCTGCTCTATCATTTGCTATTCAACCACTTCTTCCACTTGCAAACCTGAAATGCTGTTTAGGTGAAAATTAACTTATGAGTAAAGCAGCAAACTTGTCTGCTGTTTGCTTTCCCCAGCCAGCCTTTCTTTTACTGTTTTTATGGGGTATCTTACAACAGGAACTTAGTTTCCTCTTCATTTTTCCATGGCTGCTACTGCAAATAAGCACATAATATTAGTGTTAAGAAAAATGGTGTGCACAGCCATTTCCAGAAGACATCCTCCTTTCTTTCCTTGTTATGGGCACAAACTGCAAAGGCTTTATTCCTGAAGGACTTGTGGACTACCAAAGTCTTCAGCTCCTTAAATCATGCTGCAGTAAACAAGATCCCTTTTTAGTGAGGTGGGTTTCACCTGCAGCAGAACTGCTGCAGCCCAGACCCATATATGGGGCAAGGGTCCAATACCACGACAAAGCATGAAAGGTAAAGAAGGGGACCAATAAACGTGAACATTAATTTATTTTCCTTCTGTCACAGGCTGTGACTTGGCCCCCAGAGCAGACTGTATACTCAGAATCTGCTCCCACCAGATGGCAGACATCTCTCAGCTCTGTTCTCCTCCTGGGTTCAGAGGAGAAACAGAACAACCTGTCAGGGAAGGTCAGAGAGAGACCCCCAGCAGCCTGTGCAGAAGCCTGCTAGTGCACCTGGGGCAGGCACAGCAGAGGCAGCACCATTCGTGGCTGTGGTTTACTGCAGCGCGCTGTTGCTCTGCTCCTCAAAGGTCATTTTGCCCAGCAGCTGGCTCTCCAGCTCCACATTGCCCACTGGCAGCTGGAAAAAGTTCATCTCAGCTGCCAAAGCAGCCATGGCAGAGGGGTCCTGGCCAAACTGTGCCCGGAGCATCATGTCCATTTTCTCCAGGCGCCGCTTGAGCCTCTTGGCCTCGCGCTCCCGGATGAGCCGGGCCTGTCGCTTCTCGGGGGTCTCGTTGGCGCGTTTCAGGCGCATGGCCTCCCGGTCCCGCTGCAGCCGCCGCGCCCGCTGCTCGTCCGTCTCCTGCATGCGCTGCAGCCGCTTGGCTTCCCGGTCCCGCATGCGTCTCACTTCCCGCTCCTCGGGCGTCTCATTGTCCCGCCGGCTCTTCTTGGCCGTGCGCTCCCGCTCCAGGCGCTGCAGCCGCACCTCCAGGGGCTCGTTCTGCCGCCGCAGGGCCCACTTGCGCATGCCGGGGCTCTGCGCCTCCAGCAGCTTGCGGTACGCGGCGCAGTTGTTGCACACCAGCAGGATGCCCGCGGGGTACACGGGGGTGCGAAAGGCAACGTCCTTCCCCTCGGCGCCGGACGGGCCCTGGCTCTGCGGCGCCGGCAGCCGATCTGCACTGAGCACCTCCGGCAGCTTCTCACTGCAAAGCATAAGGAGCAGAATAAGAGACTCGGTGCTGTCAGCAGAGTCCCCATCTCAGAGTTCCCAGGGGCTTCCATGAACAGTGCTCCCACTACAGCCTATGGCAGAGGCCTCTGCTAAACCATTTGCCCACAGATACGTGTGAATATCTTCCAGGGTAGGAAGCGGGTGAGCCCAGAGCAGCATCTGGGTTGGAAGAGCGCAAGAGCAGGAATTAACCAGTGAACTGCTCCTCCCCATCATCTCTGGATTTTTCCTTTCAGCCCCATTCCGCTGGTCAGTGGATAATTTCCCACCAGGAAGGGCACAAAGAAATAACATTTTGGTCTCTGCCTGTATCCCTGCTTTGGAAATGATGAACCCACCTGGGCAGCGCAGCCCTGTGCTGACGGGTTGCTGGGTAAGGGAAGTGGTGTGCTGTTCTCTGGTGACTGGAGACCCCAGTGGTTCTTGCACCCCTCTAGCTCTGCACAGAGCTAAGGAGCACCCTTTTAGCACCACATCCCCTGGAGGTCTTTGCAGGGGATGCAGAGCTGCAGACAGGAAGGGATCAAGGGAATCTCACTCACTGGGGATGTTTAGCACTGTCCTACAGGCCTCAGTGTGTCCAGAGCCACAAGTTCTGAGTCATTTAAGGCAACCCACCTAATCTTTAATGTGGTGCTCTAGCCCACTCACCAGCCAGGGAGACCCTGACCTGTTGAAGGTGGCGTGGCTGGTGAAGCGTGCTCCACACACTGCACAGTTGGACAGCTGGTCCTCCGAGTGGATCAGGAGGTGCCTCCCAAGGGACCCCGGTGAGCTGAGGGCTCTGCCACACACAGGACACAGGTAGCTCTTGGCACTCACCACTGCTGCAGTGTGCTGCAAAACAACAACTCAGGTGTTAGTTACACACTGCCCAGCTCCCTGCCCAGTCCAAGGCACGCTCAAACCATTCTGTTCAGCCTCTTGGAATGGGAACCCTTTACCACTAAACCTCTGTCTGACAGCAACTAGATCAAGCTCAAGACATTTGGTGTGTCACAGGTCAAACAAGGAGGAAACCCTTCTACAGCTCCACTCCGGTGCAGGAGAAACCATTAAGGCCAAACACACATGGATCGTAAGACCTGACCCTTGTTTTCAGAAAGGCATTTGGGGAGCAGCTGGTCCTGGACAAAGCATGACTGGATTAAAGCAGGCAGGATGCTGGTGAGGAAGCACTTAGATGGAGGCAGCTGGTGCAGATAAGGGGCCAATTCAGTTCTGCTTCATTCCTTCTGTTACAGGCTTTGATGTGCTATGAAAAGAGCACTGACAACAAAACCTGAGATTCCACCACAGATTTCCTGCAAAACTGGAACCACGTAGAGGAAGAACAGCTATTCTTATGGATAATTACACGAACTGTAATGAAGTAAAAAATGAGTTATTAGGAGGAAGGTTTCTTATCTCACTGAATGATGTAAAAATTGCTTCCGTTTAATCTGAAGGAACTGTCTGGTTTTAGCCTGCAGTACTTGCAGAGACTGCCATGGGAGAGAGTTGTGTTTTTCAGATCTGCAGACTGGTGCCTTGCTAATTCTTTCCCCAGGACACCCTCTGGACACAGTTTACTGCTGTCAAGTTCAGTCACATCCTAGCTAGAAGCTCGGTTCTCTGATTGGAAAGACCAGAATAAAGTTACTCTGTGCTTTGGGCTGTTTCTGGACTTGGGGCTTCAGGCCAGAGACATCCCTACCTGGTACACATGAGCAATGAGCTGCTCTCTGCTTCCACACTCCAGCTGGCAGAGGGGACACTGTGACAGTCCCAGCATGGGGTCAGCGTTCAAACTCTCGGGCACCTACAGAGAGGAACAGCCACTTCAGTGAAAGGCACACAGCCTCCTCCACAGCCCCCCACCCTCCCTGAGCTCCGCCCAGGGCTGCTGCAAATCCAGTGTTGTGTGCCCAGTCCCATTGGAACTGCTTTGGGTTCCTGACATCTGCAACCTCCTTCACATAGCCTCTGAGCAAAACTCCTGCATCTCAGGGAGAAGAGGCAGAGGCCTCATGGCCTCCACTTGTACACAGGCTCTTGCCAGCACGGTGGCTCTGGAAGGCAGGGCCTGCTCTGGGGCAGGGGGAAGGAGAAGTCCATCGGAGAAAGGCACCAAAACTGAAGGAAGGGGACACACTCCATAAACATTTTGGCCAGTTTGTGCCTGCTGTCTCATACTCCTGGCAGCCCAAGAGCTATTCGTACCCTTTCCTCCTGCCAGGAGACGTTTGGAGGAGGTGGGAGGGAAAGAAAGATAAAGAACCATGATGGGGAGAGGAGGTGTTTACAGAGTACCCTTCTCCCTCCCTGGAGGCTACAGTGAGTGCAGAGCCAATACACACTTGCCTCATTTTCTCTCATCAGGGGGGTTCCAGCCATGGGTCGTTCTGCATTCTCTAATTCCTTCTTCACTTTCACCATTGAGCCATCCTCCTCGGATGTATGGGAAGAAACTTCATCCTGGGTCGTTTCCTCATCATCACTGCCACCTGAAACACGCAGAACAGTTATGCCAAGTTCAGGACCCTGAGGGCATTCATAGGCCTCAGGCTCTTAACTCATAGGTCTTAACTGTCTTGACCAGCATCACATGGTGACTCTACCCAACCCTCCAACCATGGACTCCATTTAAACTGAGTCTGGGGCACTTCAGTCCCTGAGCTGCTCTGCAGAGTCCCTGGGCATGGCCTCTTGTCCTGCCTTCCTCACTAATTGCCAGACTGTCAGCTGGACCTGCTGCCATTCCCTCCCTGCTCTGGTGAGATGGGACTGTGTCCCGGTGGTGAGGGCATTGCCCAGTCTGTGCTGTGCTGGTCCTTGGCTCTGGGCTTGTCTTCTCTCAGGACAAAGTCCTGCACAGGAGCCAAGGGCTGACATGGAGGAGGAGCTGGCTAAGATGGTTCTCAGAGTACCCCCCACACCCTGTAGCCTCATCTCTTCTCAGAGTCTCCCCAGTCCACTACCTTGCCGTTATTGGAAAGGGCAGAACTCACTGCTGCTGGAGTCGGGGTCTTGCAGCGGACGGATGGCTGGCCTTTGGTCCCCAAGAGCTCCAGGAAAGTTGTTTTTCATCATGGCTTGGCGGGCTTGCTCCTCCAGCCCTGCAAAGACTTGCTCCCCTGGCAGCCACAAGGACAAAGAGTCAGACTAGTGCTGTTCCATCGCGTTCACCACCACAGCTTGCCAAAAACACAACAGGCATAGGGCTGCTCACCTGCACCGTGCAGAACCTCTGGAGTCACCTCTTGGAAAGCACTTAGGTCACTTCTCTGCTTGCCTACCCTGCCACACCAGCCTCTGGCACCTGCTGGTGCAAGTCCAGTTCCTGGGTGTAGAACAGTCTCACTAGGGCAATGTCCAGCACTGGGCTGCCCCCTGCATATGCTGTATATGCCACTCCAGCCACAAAAAAACCTGTGAGGCCCCATATACCTGCCTTAGAAAGCCAGGCGGCTTTTGCTGCCAAGCTATCCACCAATATCCTACAGCACAGCTCTGGGCTGTGGGAAGCCCCTGGGGACTATGACAGGGGGATAATAGTGTATAGCTCTTCTAAATCATTAAGTCCTATTCCCTGCTATAACGGGCATCTTGCACAAAAATAGAACCTCCCTAAGTGCCTGGTACATCACCTGCCCTCCACAGTGATACCAAAACTAGGGGCTGTCCTTGGCATGCTCTGTCACCTCCTTTTGTCTCAGGAGAGATAAGGACAAGCTGTCCTTGCAGAAGGTGTTTGTGCTTGGAGCTGGTGTTCTCCTGTGCACACGATGGATGACTTGCTCCACTACCTTGCCTTGCCCAGGAATGGCTATCCCTAAAGTAAATCTCAGTGGCACTTAATGTGCTCAAACAGAAACCCAAGGGAGGGAACCCAGAGAGCTGAGATGCACGTTTAGGACAAAACAGCCTGTTCTGTTGCAAGCGCTGACCACTAGTACCTCAACTCAACAGTTGAAATGGCAAACACCTTGGAAGAAAGCAGTTATTTGTGCTTCTCTGAAAGAAAACCTTCAGCAATCCCCACTCAAGAGAACTTTCAGTTCCAGAGAATACCAATAAAAGGTAACCATTAATTTTCATATTCAAGCAAACAAATTACTTTGTTCCAGGTGTAATTGTGATTTACCTTTTTCAGTAGATGAGCTGGGAGGCCTGGAAAAGATGCTGAAGTTCCCAGCAGGCTGGCTTTTGGGTTGCATTTATCAACTAATTTGTAAGTGCTTAAGGACCCCTCAAAGCACAAATGCAAAAATGCCAAGGAAGATGCAGTGCATTTTTCAAATAAAATCAAAACACAGCTTTCAGAAGAAAATGTTGCTTTTTAGTACTGGGTCACAGCTGACATCAGTTTAACCAGGGAATTGAATTCTCTAAGAGAGCACCAGTCCTGTTACAAGGACAGGCACATTCCCACATGCTGAACTGTTCCAGTGTTGCTCTGTGGTCCCACTCCCTGCCTTTCCTGGGGCTTACCTCACCATTTTGGCAGGGCTTTAAAAAGCCATAATTTAGAGAAGATTTCAAAGACCTTCAGAAGTTTCACAGAGACTGTGGGAGAGGAGTTTTAGTTCCCAATGTCCCCATGGAGGTTTCCAAAAGCATTTGAAGGTTTTTATCATTCTGTTTCAGAAACGTGAGAAAGGTTTCTGTAGATGACTTGAGAACACAATCCATGCATCCGAGGAGAGGTGCTGAGAAGCACCCCAAGTCACCCAAAGCAACAGGAACCATCATGACTCCTGTGACACACGTAGCCCGTTCAGAAGCCATTCCAGCACCCAATGGTTTTCATGACCTGGAGTGGTGTTTTTATGTCTAGACCACAGCTTCATGTTGGTAGGATTGAAATACAGACTGTACAAGCAACAGACACCACAGAATCCCAGAGCCTCTCCAAGAAGCAGACACCCACAAACCACCAGGATAAAAGCCCAGAGACCAAAAAAGCATTGCAAGAGAATGGTGAAATGGTGAAATGAGGAAACCTGTAGAATGCAGGACAAATATAAAACTACGGTGGGAGATGTGCTACCTGTGACAAAGTTCCAAAAGAGGATTCCCAAACGCCACTGCAGCTGCTTGTAAAAGCAGTTATGTGTTTGTTTGCTTCCCTCTCTTCCCTTCCAGACAGATTACATTCCCACTGAGCAGCAGGCTGGAGTCCAAAGGCAGGCAGGTTGCTGCTCAGTTACACAAGCCATGCAATCGTCTGCAGGATTTAAGAGCTAGGATCTCTATCCAGGTGACAGAGGGAATTCCTCCCATCAGAAACACTGGTAAAAGTCACAGTAACCAAGAGCAATTGTGTGTGCCTGGGGCCTCTGCACAGCACTGTGCTCACAGCACAGAGCCCAGTGAGCATTGACTTAGCACAGTGCAGAGAACAGCCAGCTTAGAGCCAGCAATGCAAGCTGTTAACCAAACCCGTGCTGTTAGCAGGGATGCCCTCTGCATCCTCCACAGGCTGAATCTGAAAACATCACGGGATTGGGAAACGCAAACGTGTAAAAACGCTGTCTTCAGCTTGTACAAAATTTCTTATGTGTTATAAAAACAGCGTCCAAAAGAACTTAGCAAAGAGTGTCCTGCTCACCTATTGATGAACTAAGTCCTACGTTGATGAAGCCTTAGAGCTTTAATGTTTGATAGGTACAGGATTGTACTTTTGTTGTTTCTGCACACACATGCTCCCATACAGCCACTTACGCCCCTCCCTCCACCCCACTTTGGATTCACTTCCATTCATTTGGAAGAGGAGTAAGATAGGCAACAGCTTTAGGATCACTGCCATAAATAAAGGATGTTATGCTTAATAGTGAATTCACAGACTCTTCTCCAGAAGTTTCTTTATTAAATACAAAAAGGGCTGCAGGCTGACCACAACACCAAAACAAGTCACTGAAGTTGCTTACAAGCAGCTAGAGATGAGAGATCACACAAGTGCCTCTGCTTTGTATTCCATTCTCCTCTCCATACTCCTGTGAATGAGTGGGATACCAGGTGAGCAGCGGTGGAGGTAGGGGACAGCCCTGTGGTACTGTGCAACAGGGATAGGCATGACAGTTAGGGTCTGCTGGGTTATCAGCCCTGAGCCCTTCCCTTCTCCAACTGTATGAGTGCAGGACAACTCTCAGGTGTTCTGGAAAATAAACACACAAACAAACAACTCCCACCCCAAAATCCACAAAACAAAATCCAAAGGAACTGCATCATTCCCCTGCCTTCCTTCCTAAACAGAAAGGTCTCTCAGAGATGAGTCACTTTATTCCCCCCTTGTACATCAATTTTAAGTCCCTGTTCATGTAGGTCTTCTCTGTGTTCCTGGACCTGAAATTTGCAAGTCTTTCCACCACTGTGGATCTATTCCACCTGCCCCATGGCTATTCTGGGTTGTCCACACTGCTGTAGTGGTTACTGAAATGAAAAACAACACAATTGAAAGGGTTAACAATGGCAGCCCATGGAGCCCTTCAGAACCAAGGGTTTTGATGCAAGTAACATTTCTGCTTGGTTGAGAATGCTGGGTGTATCTTGCAAGATATGTTCTCTTCAAACTGGGAATATTATAGACAGCAGAATCCAAGGAAGACCAAAGAGCACAGAATGTGTGTGTGTCAGAGAGAGAGGGAAGCAAATAGAGGATTAATGGGATATTAGGACCATGATAAATAGAGCTCAGAAGTAGGAATTAATCTGACTAACAGAAGCTGTTCTCCAGAGTTCTAAAATAAGCATCAGTTGCAGAGGGCACAAGCAACAGAAAGCAAAGCAGCTCGTGGACAGCAGGGAGAGAGAAGTGCACGCTAACACCAGCAGCAAATTCTGGCAAGCACAAAGACAGCAAGTGGTCCACGACTGATGGGGTGACAGCGCAGCAACGGATGGGCTTGAATGCAAGAGCAGATGAATTGCTTAGAGATTTTTTATACTTTTCTACTTCAGACTCTGGGAGACAATAAAGACCAAATTGAATCAATTAAGGTATCTCCACAGAAACAACCTAACTGTATTCTATTTTTCAGTAAATATATTCCACTGTTACCGTTCTCTTTTTTAGCACTTTGTCAAGTGTGTTTTTCATGCACCACATGGCAAAATAAAATTAAATTATCAAGAGCCAATTATGTGCTGCAGGGAAAATTACTACAATTAAAACTGTAGGACTGGCCACCATGCACAATAAGACTTTTGGGATAACAGTAATTTTTATCATTGTTTTACCATTGCTTCAGTATTATTTTGAATTTCCTTACACATCAACCTCCACTTAAAACTCTTTTGACTTGTAACACAATCTCCTAGCTGTTCTCTCTGCATGCCAAACAAAACGATCCTGTGCTAAGTGAGGACAGCAAACCATTTTGTGAGAGCAAGGTGAAATGAGAGCCATGCCAAGCCTGGAAAGTAACCCTGGAAAGAGGAAGCACCAAGCAAGCCAGGGAGAGATCTGCAGCTGTCACTTGCCCTGTGAGTCCAAGAAGAGAACATGGAGTAGCCATGCAAGGAAGAAGTAGGCACCATCCTCTCATTAAATTTGTCCAGTCAGATATTCACAGTTGTATTTATGCAAATCCAAAAAGCACTTCCCCAGCCCCAGAGCCTGCCAAATCAGATCCCAGCTGCAGACAACTGTGTAAAAAGCTGCATACCTGCTGTCCCTTTCATTCCTCTCCTCCCAACCACTGCAGTCCCTGTGAAGAAGTCCCAGTAACGTGTCTGCTATGTCTCAGCCTGACTCCTCATTCTGCTGGCTCACCCCGTTCTTGGAGCCGATGCTCTCTCCGATTATCCTCGTCAGGGCACTGCACGGCATTTCTGGGCCCTCCAGACACACAGCGGGCTAGGTAGACAGAGAAGTCCCAACGATTTCGTGGTGTTCATCATAAGACAGACAAGATTTTCCATCCCAAGGTGGAGACATCATCACTGACATGTTTCTGGTATCTTTCGGTCCCTTTATTTTCTTGTGGTCCTACTTGCTGCTCCTGATGGCTCCTGCTGACTAGTTGCTCTGTGGCAACGTACTGCATGTAAAGGACGTGAACAGGTCCCAGAATTCCTCTCCATGGCATACCTGATGCCATAACCTCAACCTCATGCCCACTGGTAGAGTGTTTGTCAGGCAGCTTCTCCCAAGACCAAGACTGGAGATACAATCACTTGTATTGTAGATAGAAAAGCAATGTTCACTATGAAAACAGTGCACAGCTGAACTCTGTGATAGAGTTTTATATATAACAGTACAAGCTTCTGAAGAACATAACCCTTACACTGTGGAGTGCAGAAAAGTGCCCACCTAAACACCATGGAAGCTGTACCTGCACCACTGGAGCTGCTGTAGCCCTTGGTTTCCATATTCAAGAAAAGCCCCAATTCTGCCCCCAGGGAGACAGCTGAAGTGCATGCCTGATATAAACCTGAGCTCAATGGCAGTACTACTACCTGGGCACTCTCAGAAGCAAAAATATGTGGACATAAGGCATGTTATTGGCATCACAGGACAAAATACAGGACATTCCAGATTTCTCTAAGGAAAACAACTCCAAAGTCATTAACGCAGTATCAGGCAAATCACAACTATACTCTGCCCACTGTGGAACCCAGCGCCCAGAAGCAGGAATCAGAGAGCACAGGGCAGTGCAGATGCCACAAGCCACACCCCGAGACCCTCACGATGGTCACCAAGGACAGCCTGGTCGGCTCTCCGGAGCTGAGTGGCTGGTGTGGCTGCAAGTCCCAGAGAGAGGCAATTCTTCCCAGTGCACTCACTGAGTGCGCAAGGTGTGAGGCTCCAACAGTGTTTCCTCACACAGAGAGCAGCATGCACAGATCCCTGCTGTGTACCCGTGCACGGAGGCAGCACACAGACATGCAAGCCAGCAGCACCAGCAGTGAGGCAGTGTTAGGGCTGCAGCGCTCAGCTCTGTCTCATATTCCTGACAGCTACTGCAGCTAGCAGTATCCAGGGCCCTCTAAGCAGCCTTGCTCTCATGGGCCTACAGAAATGAAAGAACAACTTGTTTTCCTCATTCCAGCCCAAACTCCAAGCATGCCTCCAGCCACAAACCCGGGTATGAACAAGGGCATAGCTCTAGGCCCCTCAACTTCCCTCTGCTACCACTAGTCAAAGAAAAGCCATACATGTGCAGTTTCCCCCCTGCAGCCAAACCTCCATCCTTGTCTCCCAGCTGCACTGACACCTGGCTATAGTCTGCGCACAAAAGTGCTAATGTACAGCATCTTCAGCCCGTCAAACAAATGTTCAGGTCTTGGCAAGGTTGGAGAAACAAAGATCTGTCCTACCAGCTCAGCTCAAGAATGATCTGGTAGACAGTATTTGTCTATCCCGTGAATTACTTGACCACCACCCACTCCCTGACAGGAAAGAGCAAATGGCTTTATTTAATTATCTAGTAGGAAACTGGGGTACAGTGAGCTTAAGTAACATGCCCAAGGCCAGTCAGCTCAGTCTGGTAGGACGAAGATCAAAACCCGGGACTTGCTGGCTTTCAGCCACATGCCCAAAGCACCTTGCCTACAACCTCCTTTGCTATCCAAGACAGGCCAGAGCCCTAAGTCATATTCCAACTCACGCTTATGACACAAGGCCCTGCACATACAAACCTACCTCTACAGCATTAGCTGTTTGCTCAAGCCTATCCCTGTCGTGCCACGCCAGGGCACAGCCAGCTCCCCTGACACACAGAGCTCAGTTTCTCTTCTTACGCTCCCTAAGACAAAATGTGAGTAGCCACCGTTCCCCGCAACCTGTACCTTCCCGTCATTCCCATCCTCCCTATCTCACTCCACAATCCAGACAGAGGTCCCACACTGCTGTGTAACATCATACTCACAGTGAACTTTGTTAGGAGTGGTCTGTTTCCGACGGGACATGTTTCCCTGACCTGGGAGCAGAGTGTTCCTCCCGTCAGCAGAGGGCTCACCTGAGAAGAGAAGATCCTGTCACACACTTCACTGGAACCTTCCGAGTCTCTGGCCAAGCTCAGGTGGTTGTCCCAGCGTCACTCTCCACCTTCTGCCTAGGGGGCTCGTTCTGCATCACCACAGCTGGATTTTGTGCCAGCATCCAACACGATCCACAAGCATTTCACAAGTCACCATGCACGGGCAGTCCTATCCAGTTCTCAGGCAAAGGTTTAAGCAATCCTGACACGCTCCCCCAAACTGAGTGCCCCCTTCAAGAGTGACTGCAACCTCAGTCCCAACACCCTTCTCCCTCCTGTCCATTCCTGCAGCTTCATCATCGAATGCTTGTCCTCAGACTGACAGAGGAAGGTGACAATCCCAGCAGTCCCCTTGGACAGACAGACAAAAGGAGGATCCGAGCCCTTCCCCACAAGACAGATGGTCACAGGGATCCCATCAGCCTCCTCAGAAAGGTGGACACAGAGATCCTGTCAGCCTTTCACTGACACACTCACAAAGATCCCGTCAGTCCCTCACCGACTGATGGACACAGGGAACCCATCAGCCTCAGACAGACAGACAAAGGATCCTGTCAGCCTCTCGCTGACAGACTGACATAGGGGTCCCGTCAGCCGCCTCAGATGGATGAACACGGGGATCCCGTCAGCCTCCCCAGACAGCGGGATGCAGACGGCAGTCCCAGGACACGGGAAGCGGCAGGAGGAATCGGGCCCGCAAGCGGCCGGACACACAGACAAAGGGACGCGGCTTCCCTGGCACTGGGACGGACCGCCGAGGGTCCCGGCCCGGCAGCCCCGACAGACAGACCGGCCCCGGCAGCGGGGGGGCCGCCGCGGGGCCCGTCCCGCCCCTCGCGGGCGGCAGCGCCGGCCCGGCCGCCTTACCCGGTCCCGCCGCAGGCGCCGGGAGCCACGGACAGACAAAGGGCAGCGGACAGACGGACGGGCAAGATGGCGGCGCCGCTGGAGCGCGCGGCGCGGGCACGGGCGCGGGCACGGGCACGGGAGCAACAGCCCGGCACGGCACCGGGACAGCCCGGCACGGCACCGGGACAGCCCGGCACGGCACCGGGACAGCTCGGCACGGCACCGGGACAGCCCGGCACGGCACCGGGACAGCCCGGCACGGGCACCGGGACAGCCCGGCACGGCACCGGGACACACTGGGAGCCCCAGCCCAGCGCCGTCCTGGCTGTCACCGACTCGCCCGCAGACCTCAGGTGCCGGTTTTTCATTAGCTGAAGCGTCTCACCTGTTTGCCATTGATCCGCCCCAGCCCGCGGCTCCCGGCCGCCCGAGGGAGCTCATCCGTGCCCGCGGTGGGGCTCCCTTGCCCCGGCCGCCTCCGCCGGCAGCTCACCGGGAGCGCCCGTGCCGCCCCGGCTCACCGGGATCTCGCGTACCCTGCAAGGCCAAAACCCACGGGTTTAGTATTAACCCGGACCCACCGCGCGCGTTGTGAACTGGTGCTCCCACCGAGAGCTGAACCACCCCTCCCCGCCGGCTCGGGGCGCCTCCCCTCGCAGGCCGCCGAGCGCCGCCGCCGCGGGCCCGCTCATCCTGGGGCTGCGGCACCGGGCCCGGGACCAGGCTGAACCTCGGCCCGACCCTCCCTTACGGTGGCACTAGCGCCGTGTGACCCTCAGAGAACCGAGGACGCCCCGGCCCCGCTCACCATCCGCGGCCGGGGCACGGCGCGGCAGCCACGGGCGGAACACCGCACTGCCGGAACCGCCGCGCCGGGGGCGGGCACCACCGGGGCCTATCGGGCGTGACACCATAGAGCCGCGCACAGGATCCCTCCGCCGAGCCATGTAGTCCCTCTGCGCCCCTCTCCCGGGGCCGTTCCCGCTCCTCCCCGTTCCTGCCCGGTAGCCGCCGCGCCGGAGAGGCATCTGGGGGGCTAGACCAGAAGAGCGCCCGCCGCGGCGGCTCGGCCGTGCCCCGGGCAGGGAGCGGGGAGTGCCGGCTCTGGGGATCCCTCCGCTCGCGGTGCGGCGCTGCCACCGGGGCGCGCCATTTTGGGTGACAGAGGCGCGGAGCTGCCGGAGGTGAGCGGGGTCCGGGCCACGGAGGAGGAGCGGGGCAGTGGGGCGCGCTCTGCGGCCGAGGGGTGCTGCGGTGACGGGGAGGCCCTTGCCCAGAGTCTCCCGCAGTCCCTCCTGCGCTGTAGGACGTTCCCGTTCGCTGGGGAGAGAGAGGGAATTCCCCCCGCGGCTCCTCGGGTGCAGCTGCGCCGATGGAGCCCGCCCAGAGCACTGTCCGAACTGGCCCTGGGCCCTGGGCCGGACACGGCGGGTCTCGCCGGGCGGCTGGTGGGGCTGATGTGGCCGCCCTGGCAGCCGGGCCGGGTCACGACTCGCCCCGCGCTGGGCAGAGCAGCCGCCGGCACCGAGGATGGGAAGGCGAAATACAAACCAACGTCTTCCTATGTGATATCTTTTCAGGAAGCTTTAGGGGTTTTTTGATTAGCGGTTCTCGGCAAAGCAAAATGCTCTAATTAAATATCTTCAGAATTGGCTTTCTGTAGGTTTATTGAGTTGACATGGCTCCTGCGGAGACTGGGGGAGTGCCAGAGCGTGTGTTCAGTAAGCAGGAAGAGTGTGGGGAATGTGGAATGGCAGCTTTTCCTTCTCCTGACACGACTGTTAAAACCTTAGTTTCTGCAGTTCTTGGGGTAGTTATTTAGCCGGTTTATAACTTGCATATTGGTAGGACAGAGATGGGCTTTTTTCTTCCAGTTGACTTTCCTGTTTCTTTAAAAATATCCAGGAAGTTTCCTGGAAGCTTCCAAGGCCAAACCTGTTGGGCTTGGTTAGGCGCAGGGTTGTGAAGTGGAAGAGGTAATGATGAGTGCTGGAGGTCCAGCTATTTATAAACAACCAGATTCTGGAATGGCAGGCCTGGGCTTTTGGGGGAATTTCTTGGCCTCCCCAGTTCCTGTGACCCTCCCTCTTCTCCCCAGAAGGTGTTTATGATGCTGGGCTCTGGGTTCAAGGCCGAGCGCTTGCGAGTCAACCTGCGCCTTGTTATCAATCGCCTCAAACTGCTGGAGAAAAAGAAGAGTGAGTACTGGAGGGGGCTGGTAGGCTCCACCATACCTTTGGGGCTCAGGAAACTTAGAGGTTTTTCTGAAGTCAGGGTGCTTTTGTGGGCCGAGTATTTGGTATCTTTCTGCTCTTCCATGCTGGATCCAGGCCTTGCAGCTTGTCCCAGTTTGTGAGGGCCCCGAGGAGCAGGCTGGCTACAGCTGGCTTCTGTCTACCTGCCTGGCAGGTGCTGGAGTGCAGGGTGTGGACTGGTAGCTGTGGGTTGTGTGTGCTCACAGCACAGTGGGAAAGAAACTCCCTGGGTGCTGTGGGAGGCTCTCCCTACCTGCCCTGCCCTGAGGCAGATAAGGTCTGTGGTCCTGGCTGACTCTGCAGGGAGGTTGTAGGTGCAGGAGTGTTTCCAGCAGCTAAAGCCCACCCTCCTTTCTCCTGTGAGTTAGTGTACTTGGACCTGGACACAAGGGCTCTGCCAAGCCATGGCTGAGTGTCTCATGCTGAGGAGGCTCAGTGGGGGAGAGAAGCTGCTGGTGGCTTTGGGTGTGGTGGGGACTGTGGGGGGTCTGGAGGCAGCAGCCCCAGCCAGCACGGTGACCACGCTCGGGAATGTGTGCTGCAGCTGAGTTGGCCCAGAAGGCAAGGAAGGAGATTGCAGATTACCTGGCAGCTGGAAAAGATGAGCGTGCCAGGATTCGTGTGGAGCACATCATCCGCGAAGATTACCTTGTGGAGGCCATGGAGATCCTGGAGCTGTACTGTGATCTACTGCTTGCCCGCTTCGGCTTGATCCAGTCCATGAAGTAAGCTTTGACTGAGAGGGTCCTGGGCTCAGGGAGGGACACTGCTGGGGGGCAGGTCTGGGGTACAGAGGGGCACCTGTGTTTGTCTCAGTGTCCTAAGGCTCCCAGAGACCTCTTCTTCCCCAGGCAGGGAAGACTCTGGTGCCCAGCGTGGAGAATGGGAACTTTGAGGCTAGGCGGGTTGAGAGCAGCAAAGGCAGGGTGCATGAGGGAACTGGTTTTTGTGTCCTAGGGAGCTGGACTCTGGCCTGGCAGAGGCGGTATCAACCCTGATTTGGGCTGCACCACGTCTCCAGTCGGAAGTGGCTGAGTTGAAGATTGTGAGTAGGGTTCCTTGAGGGTGTTGTGCATGCAGGGTGGGGATGATGCTGCCAGAAGCTGGTGGAAGCCCTTGTCTGGGACTTTGTGTCGCTAAAACAGAGGATGTGTTTTCACGAGCTCTGCAGATGGAGACCTGGTGTCCCTGGAGCATGCAGGGTGGCTGTGGCTGCTGAACAGGGATGCTCAGGGGCAGAAATGAGAGGGAGGGGGGCAGCTGTTGGAGGTACAGCAGGTGTGAAGTGTGTGGTGGGGGAAAGCAAGAGTGTGCATGTTCCTAGAGTTTCTCTCCCGTTGCAGGTGGCTGACCAGCTGTGTGCCAAGTACAGCAAGGAGTATGGGAAGCTGTGCCGGACAAACCAGATTGGAACAGTCAACGACAGGGTAATGAACCGGTGGAACAGCTGGAGCTGGCAGAGCAGCCACACCTGCCGAGGCTTACTGCCCCTTGGGCCTGTGGGTGATGCCCACGGTCACTGCAGAGCAGGGTGGGCATATGGAGCCCTCCTGTGTTGGAGCATGGTGCTGAGAGCTTGGGCAGGGGGGCCCTGCCGTGCTGGTTGTGGATGGGGAGCACATGGAGCCCTGGTCTGTGGCTGCCCACAGTGTGCTGCACTGGGCAGAGGCTCCTCCAGAGCTGCTCAGTGCTCCCTGCAGCTGGTGGCCCTGGCTGGGATAGAGCTGGGATGGTGCTGGGCCGGGGCTGTGGGGTGCTGCACTGCCCTGGCCCCA